CAACTCAAGCTGTAAAGACCAGTACACTAGTCAAATTATCCACCACCGCCACGCAACATCCCAAAGTGGCTAGCATCAATTTTGCTCTAGCCCATTCTGTACTGGGTAAACAGTACGTACCAAAAACCAATTTATGTAAGAAACACACTTTTCATTACACATTTTCTTTTGATGCACAACTGACGGGGAAAACCCCATAGTCACGAGGATCTGCTGTTCAGTAATGAAAACCGGTAACCTAAGCCCAAAGGTTTGGAGTGATGAACTACATAAGACCTCGATAGGTTAGGTGCGATATTGGAACGGACAACAGCACAACTGCCTACTACCAAGACCCAAATTTCGAAGTAAATACTATTAGTAGATAAACTTGAATATCAAATAGTGAGTGATACCCTATTATTATTATTCCGAACAGGAATACATATAACAAAAATCCAATTACCATAGTAGTTAATGCTTCAACTGTGCAATCCATCTAAATCAAATTAAGTTCCATCATCAGTAAAATTGTTTCGGGCTACCACATAACCGAGTGATTCAAGCGGTGCGTAATAAACTAGACACTTTCTACGATCGAATCCAATGAAATGTCTGGGGACAAGGGAAAAGTGGTAACAGTACCGAGAAACATTAATTTACCCCATTGATTCACGTGAGAAATCGCGAAGAATTAACACACTGATTTAACTAATCCATGTGACACAAAGGTTGTGATAAAGCTCGGACCGGAAATGGCTCAAATGAGATACAGTAGTCTGGGAATTTGACCTTTTGGATCGGGAGTTCTATATGGCGGAAATTAGCGCACTGATAAATGAAAAGCATATGTATTGTTGGGTTGGACGGACCAAGCATATCCATGTTGATGGCAATGCGTTTCCATATGTCGTTATTTCAAAGCAAAACTGGACGTTGAATGCGAAACAATTAAAACGTACATTCAGGTATTGATTGTTTGACAAATGACGAATAGCGTAAGCAGTCTGATTTGTGATCCTCGAGCAACAATAGATAAAATTCATTCGTTTGAGTCCTTTAGGTAAACTACCTCTACAGATATCACGTCGTGCTACTATTACGAGAGCTGAGGTAGAAGTTTCCGGAAGCACACAGTTTCATTTGTTACACAATAATAAGCATTACACTTTTACCAATTATTCTCAACCAGCACAGTTCCATGCGTTAAAACCATTTGGTGAAAGAGCTGAACCATGCCAAAGCGAGTAACCCTTCAACCACTTCGACGTAGATCTCCACTGCAGCTGTTGGTCGGATTCCAAGCATCATGTGCTTGACATTGGAGAATATAAAAGTTACACGGAGCCAGGCCTGGATTGTTGGGTGGTTGATCAACCTCCTGGATGAGTTCTGGAGCCAGAACCTGGATGACATGAAACCTATGTGCATGTGCGTTTTCATAATGCAACAAACTCCTTCGGGCTCGAGTCCTTGGAGGAAGCTTGGCAACAGCTTTCAACACTTTCGGTAGAGTAGCGTGCCGGTCTCCAGTGACTGTGCTTTGCTGTACGAGCGACACAGTAGCCACATGACTGGTCTGGGCCATGAACACAGCCACCATCTGCTTTGTCACACTGCGCTGGTCTGGGAATTTCTGAGGCGGCGCTACTGAGCCGACTGTTGGGTGATCTCTGGGTCGAAACCGTATAATCAGGTCTCAACACCATTGATGATCTTTTAAAGTGCA